ATATATATATATATATATATATATATATATATATATACTGCGTTACTTGTAAAAAATGAACAAAAAATTCTCTAAAACAACAACACATATACAAATACATCAAGGACAAAAAATACTAATAGAACCAAATCAAATTTACAATATTTCAGTAATAAATGAATTCAATAAATTTTTTTTGTATTTGTCACCATTACCATAATCCAATTTAATAACAAAACATAATTATAAACTCAATTCACCCATGTAATAAATATCTCAAACAAAAAATTGTCCACAAATGCAACCATTTACATAATACAAATAAGTTCACAAATACTGTCAAAAGAATAAGTTTTGTCAATTGAGATTCCACCAACTTCCAAAAGAATGAATACAACCTGTATTCATAAAAAATAATATATTTAAATATTTTTTCATTCTATAAAAACATACAAATATTTTTTTTCAATTCATATACATTCAAATAATAAAAAGATACAACCTATTTGGGGTTTGTTATGATTTTTGGTTTTAGTTTGGTTTATTACAGAGATTTTGATTTAAATTATTGGTAAACTAAATAATGTTGTATTGTTTAAATATTTATGAACTAAATAATGTTTAAATTATTTATGAACTTAATAATGTTTAAATTATGTATGAAATTAACTTAATAATTTATAAATTATTTATGAACTTAACTTAATAGTGTTTTAATTATTTATGAACTTCATAATGTTTAAATTATTTATGAACTAAATAATGTTGTAGCCGTGCCAAGGAGTTAAAAACAGATACAAATGTGTAAATATACTCCTAATTTATTACGTCCACATACAACTATTTAGTGATAGTAGATAAATTTCATAATAATCAAATCAACAACATAAACAAATATTTAGTGATAGTAGATGAAACAATAGCAAAAATCATGAATATTAAACAAACCTGGATTATTAGAATATTAAACAAATCGGGAATATTGTTCACTTAAATAAAGTAGCAGCGAGAGAGAGAATTGGTTGAACGAAATCCCGAGTCAAGAATCGAAATTTTTCCAATATAAAGTATGAAACAGTAGCTACATCAATATATCAAAAAAAAATTGAATCAACAACCATAGAATTCACTCAAAAATAACATAGACCCTTCTTCTTTACTCTATCCGAAATAACATAGCTAAGACAATCTGTAATTCTAGCAAATGGCATTTCTAAGGTTCCACTTGATAGAATTTTCAGGCATTCTATCAAAATTGGGCATATTGAGTGACATAATTTAAAGGAATATATATACGGAGCATTTTCTTTCAATAGAATATGTATTTTTAGTTGAAAATTAAAGGCTAGGAAAAGGAAGCTTGAGGGCATTTACCTGGTTCACGGCGGTTCGTGTGGACAACTACAATAGAAGTGAAGTCCTTCTTCTTTGCATATTCCACAATCTGCATAAGCAACATAACTTGATTGATATAAGACCAAATAAAACATTAGCACTAAAAACTTTGATATAAAAACTAATATTTGCACATGCAAACTAATTTGGAGGTCCATTACTCCAGCCTACACCAAAAGACAATATAGGCTAGTGGCAGTTAGCTAGAATTTAAATGGGTCTAGTTTTGGACTACCAAGTTATGAACAACATCACGTTGGAGTTCACAAAATCTTAAGATAAACACGGGGGAACTTATAAAAGAAATATGCTCCTTGTCAAAGGTAAATAGACAATCTCATATTTAGAAAAATAACAATAGAATAAGACTTAGATGCTTAATCAAAAGGCATAGAATTGTACAAATGCATAAACAGTCATGGACTTATGAAATAATGTGTTAGTATGATGCAGTGTCAGTGAGATGCAGTGGGTGTGCTTGTGTGCACAAGGAATGAGATCAGCCACTTAAAGAATTTTCGTATAGCATATGCAGTGGGTGTACAAATGCATTGCCGCCTGGTGAGAAGTCAGTTCCCAAGTCAAACTGACTTTCTTTTGTTACATTGGCAGTAGTATATTTTTTTGATATTTTTTTCAGTTAGTATCAGAAAGAAGAGCTTGATTTATGGCTATAATAAATAAATTTATTTCCTTTGTTTTGCTAAATGATTCAATTTGTGTGGGTGTTTCTCTTTCTCAGTTTGATTGGAATTGTTTATTTGCAGTTAAAATATTAATGGTTCATTCAGGTAGTTTTCCAACAATAGGGTATTTGCTACTGCCAATGTAACAGGGTATTGCTATTGACATGGATAAAAGATTAAAGCATCCAACATTAATATAGAAGTTGGAAATCCTTTATCACTTGAACTAAGAGTAACAAGATAATTATGTTAAAAGTGACAAACTCAACCATCTTTGTATTTTCATATTCATTTGATTCAGCATTCTTATACACAGAGCTTGTTTCTTTCTGATTTATGGCTATAATAAATAAGTTTCTTTCCTTTGTTTTTCTAAATGATTCAATTTGCGTGGGTGTTTCTCTTTCTCAGTTTGATTGGAATTGTTTATTTGCAGTTAAAATATTAATGGTTCATTGAGGTAGTTTTCCAACAATAGGGTATTTGATACTGTCAATGTAACAGGTTATTTGCCCATGACATGGATAAAAGATTAAAGCATTCAGCATTAAAATAGAAGTTGGAAATCCTTTATCACTTGAGCTAAGAGTAACAGGATAATTATGTTAAAAGTGACAAACGAATACAAGAGAATATTAAATAAATGGAATCAAATATTGCAAAATAGGCAGCGTGAATTATCACTGTCGCATATATAATTTCGATTCAGTAAAGACCTGCATAAGGTACTTAATTCACGTATTCCCCTAGATATCCAATGTGTGTGTCCCTCCTCTAATCCATTAAATGATTTAATAATAAATTTGGCTCAGGGAGATATATAAAATCCACTTTACAACAATGGCCAACATAGAGTGTATTCCATTTCCATTAAACCAACAACACAAAGCAAGCAATTTTCAGCTAAATAGTCAATGAAACAAAGTCAGCTCTAATAAGATAAAAAAAGGTAATACAAGAAATCAAAATTTTGATCTGACAAAAGGAAACCAACCTGAGAAAGCCCTTTAAGCAGTGATCGCAATGCAGTGATTATATTCAGCACTAAAGTAGAAGTTGGAAATCCTTTAATCCATCAAGGTTTATCACTTGAGCTAAGAGTAACAGGATAATTATGTTAAAAGTGACAAACGAATACAAAAGAACATCAACATAGTTTCAGGTTCTTCTCTTTGGTGTTATGTCAATCACCTAGTATGCATAACCGGGTGGTCCCAATGAAGCCTGAATCATATTATACAGTTGAAACTGAAGAGACAGAGGAATACACAGACAAACCAAGGAATACACAAACAGACAGAAACCCATCCCAAAATATATGTACCTGGACTGCAAATTTACAACGAAGATGCAGTTGAGATTGCTAGCGGACCAATGGAGAGTGACGGTGCCGATGAGCATTGACCAGAAAAGCGAGAAGCAAAATTGCAGCCAATGCCCAGAATTTGTATCGGCCTCTACCGAATAGGTTCGAATCTGAGCTTTCCTTCTTCGAAATTGTTGATGCGGTATGCGATATTGGCCTTCCTTCTTTAATTTCGAGGGTTCCAACTGGGAAACTCTTCCTGACTTCTGATATTGCTTTGGGCGATCCACTAACGACTCACCATTATCATTCATGTGAGAAATTTTGGGGATGAGATAGAGAAGATTTGAGATTGGGAGAAGATTTGAGATTGATTCCATGTGATAGAGGCGTGATAAATTGGAAGAGAGGGGGGTGAAAGAGAGAGAGAGGCGTGACAGAGATGGAGGCAGCATTGAGAGGGAGAGGCGCGAGACTGAAGTCTGTTGGGCGGAAAAGAAAAATTTAATATTTGTTGTTGACCATTAGATCATAATTTTTAATATGATCTGAACTGTCTTTTATGTTGAGGTTATATTGTCCGTTGAATTTTTTATATTTTGTCTCAAAATGATCCGGACCTCTCTTTATCTTTTGGATTCAAACTTTGTTCTACTTTATTTATTATATATGTAATATATACAATGATGTATATAGAATATATATAATGTAATATTTACAACACTCCTTTTTGAATGACTACTATGCTAATATAATATGTCTCGTTAAAACCTTGCTAGAAAGACCATGTGGGAAAAAACTCAACGAAGGAAAAAGAGTACATATCTAAATGAATCTTAGAATAGCATTGGACGCACTAATGTTGCCTTATTAAAACCTTGTTAGGAAAATCCAATAGGACAAAACCTAGATGAAAGAAAAATAGTACAATGTGCATAAGTCTTGTATTTTGAAGTGGATACTCCCCTTGATAATAAATCAATTGGATTGGCCATACACTCAACGCATTCCAATGTCATATACCAATTTTTTGAACGTTGACGATGGTAAAGCTTTAGTGAATAAATTTGCAAGATTGTCACTATATCATATTTGTTTTACTTTAATTTCATGAATTTGCTAGAGTTCATGAGTGTAGAAGACTTCGGCGAAATATGCTTGGTTTTATCACCTTTAATTTGTGCAATGCAAGCAACATTTATCTTCATATATGGTTGCTGGTGAATTTGTAATCAAAGGAATCTTGAAAGTATCTCGGATGTGATGAACTATGGACCTTAGCCACACATATTCACGACTCACTTTTTGGAGTGCACGTATCTCAGAATAATTGGAAGATGTAACAATCAAAGTTTGCTTAGTAGATCGCCATGAAATCGTTATGTCACTACATGTGAAAACATACCTAGTTTGTGAACGAGCCTTGTGGGGATCTGATAAGTATCTAGAATCTTCATATCCAACTAACTGTGGCCCATTGACTAATTACTTTGAGAACAAACCCAAATCTGTTCCATGAAGGTAGCGTAGGACATGTTTTACGCTATTTCAATGTCATGGAGTTGGTGCAGAACTAAATCTTGCCAACAAATTAAATGCAAATGTTATATCAAGCCTAGTACATTGTGCTAAGAATAACAAAGCACCAATTGCACTTAAATATGGTACTTCAGGACCAAGAAGCATTTCATTTTCCTCTTTAGGACAAAAGATCTCCTTACTAACATCAAGAGATCAAACGACTATTGGAATACTTAACTGATATACTTTATCCATATTAAACCGCTTCAAGTAGATTATCTGATGGACAAAAATTCTGTTTAACATATGCTCAATCTGTAGGTCGAGATAGTACATTGTTTTTCCAAGATATGAAAGAATTTTTTTTTCAAATGTTCAGCAGCTTTTATCAATTCTTTAGGAGTTCCAATTAGATTAATATCATCAACATATACTACAATGATGTCAAATCCATATTCTAATTTTTTTTAATAAATATTGAGATAGTTATATCACATTCTTCCATATTATTTCAATTCATATAAGGATCGTGTCAGCTTAATTGAGTACATGTTTTGTGATTTTAATGTGTTTGCTTCATGTAATTGTAATCTTTTAGCGATTTTTATATAAATATTAGTGTTTTACTTTTTGTATAAATATGAAGTAACAACATCCATAAGATGCATGTCGAACCATTCTAAGACTGCTAGACTAATAAGATACCGAAATGTAATTGCATCAATTACTGGTGTGTATATTTTTTCATAATTAATCCCGATTCTCCACAGGAACCCTTGAGTTACTAAATGTACGATATGTTGCATATTTACTTTTTACTAATATCCACTTAAATCCAATAGGATTTACATCTTAAACTGTTGGATTACAGGTCCAATTTATCAACTTTTGATGTTTTAGAATTATGGGTCTACATTTACATTTTTAGGTATATCGGACTGCAGGTCCAATATTTTGTATTTTGTTAATAGGCTCAAGTGAATTGCTTTCTTCCACTTTAACCAATCATTTCCATGTCATATATTGTGCATGGTTCAAGATCATCACCATTTTACATATCAGTAGCTACTATATCATTGATGATCATTTTTGTGCGATACCACATCTCATATATGTATGCATACTTAATAGAAATACTTTCATTTTGTAAAGATATGTATCCCTATAGGAGTTTGTATATCTTTAGGGACTTTTTCCTCTTCAAGGGTTATTATTTGAGATGATGTGGATACATTTTCATTTTCTATTTCAACAAATTTTTCATGAATTGTATGTAGTTTCCCTTCAGGAGCTGAATCTTTTGAACCTATGTGTTGACCACGCTTAAAGTGTGTAACAAAGTTCACGCCGTTTTTCAAGCGAAAGTTTTCCTCCCCCTAATAGCGGGAAGAGTGTCTCATTTTTCTTATATATGTACATAACTTCTTGAGATCTCATTATTTTTAGGTACCTTTGTCTTTGCATAAGATTTCTCTTCACGAGACTTCTTTTCTTGGTTGCTTATACAAAAAAAAAACTTGGATTGATTATTTTATTTGTGTTTGTGGATGTGGTCTCTTCGGGAGTGCTAACTTCTTTATACAATTTTCATTGTATCTTTTTCTTTGATCTTTTTAAGAGCGCTAACTTTCGATGTATTTTTCATTATTCCTTCCTCTTCCGAGGAATCTTGTATATTGTTGTGACAAGTCTTTTACACTTATAGCATAATCTAGATAAATTCATTTGATAATATTTTATACACGAAAAAGATATTTATCTCATATATTCATTTGCTATAACAGAATAATAAGCTTCCATTTTACTAAGATATAATGCATTGCAAAAACTCTATTAAGCATTGAAGGCTAAAAATTGTCAAATTAAAAATGCACATAAAATGTAACACTTTAATAAATTTCATACAATTGATACTTAGAGTATTCTTTCAAATAGAGTTTCAAAAACAAGTTACCTCTTGTGACTGTTCTTTTATGATAGTATTAACTGAAGTGACTAAGACTTGAAACAAGATTCAACTTGACTAAATATACTAACATATTTTTAGAGTTTACAAAACTCAATTGAAATAACACATAACAATAAATGAGTTAATGAACTTGATTTACTTTTGATGATACTCATAAAAGTCCCCGATTCTGAGATCGACAGTTCAAGAGCCCAACCACAAAAATCTCGAGCTGAGTTCCAGACCTCAATCTCCCTAGACTCGCGCCTCAGAGGAAACAAAGGGAAAGACAACTGGCAACCACCAAGCATTTCCTCAATGGCAACAGACGCCAGCCTAGGCGCCAAACTTGTAATTCCCTCATCACACCCTCATCACACTGCATAATTGCTGCCCAAATCAAGTATACATTACAAGATGCGAAGATCTCACCTCAGATTCAGCTGAGCTCGAATTTAGCTATAAGTACTATAAAAGGTCCTCACTATGGGGCAAGTGATCCAAGTTAATCAAGAACATTGTGTAATTTCTCCCCCATTATCAATATATTCTCTAGGAGCAAGAGATTCCTTTGAAGAGTGCATTAGCCAAGCCCCAAGCTGTTGAACCACTATAAATACTGTGTAATCACCCACTCATCCCCAAATCCTATTCCCTAAAGCTTTAGAGCTCAGACTAGACTATATCTAACTATCCAGTGCACCCAACATTCAAGTCACTACTCAAATCGTGTTTAGGACATCATCAGTTGGCGCCATCGATGGGAATAACTGTTCCTCATATAAATATATTAATTTCCTTCAGTAATTGATGGTTTTTACGCGCAACATGAGCAGAAGTCAGATGAATCCTCTAAGTTTGCAGCATTAGTAAGAAGCCACCAGCGAAAGACAGCAGAAAAATCCTTGTGATTTCTTGTCCACCGTTGAGAGTGATCCCCCTATAGCGAATCCCCCTCCAAATAACGAACTTGAGACCCTTCGACTTGCAAATCAGCATCTTCTTCAACAGAATGAGGAGTTGTTAAATCTCCTTTAACAACCCCATGAGGTACAACCAGCCCTGGGTAATGGGGAATATCATCGAATCAATCCCTTACAAAACATCACTGAAGGGGAAAAACGTAGCCAGACCATGGGCAATGACCCCCGGGCCCCCAGAAACGAAGATTATGAGGAGGTATAGAGTCAAAAGAAGAGAATCCATAAAAACGAACTCCCATCATTCCTATAGGAAAGAAGAGAACAATATTGGGAACAACATTTCAGTGATATTCAGCAGGAGCCCAGCCACATGAAGGAGGCTGTAAGGGGCAAGAATCTAGTGACCATAGACGCCCTAGTACATCAGATTGAGTCCCCTTTTTACAGCCGAAGTATTGCCCTTTGACCTCCCTCCAAAGTTCAAGATGCCCCAAATGAAGGTCTTTGATGGGACAAAGATTCCATGGACCACCTCAACATGGACAAAAACCAAATAGAGCTCCACGGATATCAGGACCCTATACGATGTCGAGCCTTCGCCATCACATTGAAAGGCTCAGCCTTAGCATAGTTCAATAGGCTGACCCCAACATCCATTTCATCCTTCAGGGAGCTCTCCATATCTTTTGTTTTGCATTTCATAGGAGCTCGGGCTTACCAAAAATCGAGCTATCATTTGCTAAATGTAAAACAGGGACCCAATGAGAACTTGCAGACTTATGTTTAAATTTTTAACTTAGAATCATTAAAAGTAGATGTACCTAACGAAAATTTTGCCATCACAGCCTTCATTGTCGGTCTGGGAGTTCAGTCTAAGGACTTGATGTTCTCCATATCCAAGAACCTGCAACCTAGTATGACAGAGGTACTCACCAAGGCAGAGAAGTACATCAATGGTGAAGAACTCTCCTTTCCAAGGCAGGAAGTC